GAAATACACTGTTGAGGGGAGCAGTGGCTGAGTCGGGAGAGGTCTGCTGCGCATTGTGGGTAGCTTCCTGGCCAGGGATAGAACTTGTGTGCAGTGGCTGCTGATAGCTTCATAGGTGGCGTCTTCACCCCTTACACCAGCAGGGAGGCCCGAAATTGTTTAATTTTAAATACATTTCTTGCCTATTTTTTTTTTTATTTATTTTTTTTTTTTTTATAGAGGCATGTTTTATTTATTTATTTTATTTGTTTGTTTGTTTTGTTTTTACATGCGCTGGGTACAGTCAGAAGCATGGGAGGGTGAGAGAATTCACCAGAGCCAGAGTGGGGAGCAGAGCAGGCAGAAGGACCGAAGTACACTGCTGAGGGGAGCAGCGGGCGGCAGGAGAGGTCTGCACGCCATGTGGGACCCTCCTCCGGTGGCCGGGGAGCAGCCAGGGATCGAACCGGCGCCACAGGGGCCGCGGGCAGCTTCGCAACCCAGTGTTCAACCGCTGCGCCACCGGGGAGGCCCCATTTCTTGCCTATTTTTAGAAGATACTCTTGTTAAACAAACATATGGATAAGACTGATTAACAGAGAACTGGCTAGCTTGAACATCTTAGCAGGTTGGTCAGGTTCTACTGACAAGCTCACATGACCTGCGTTTGAGATCAAATGCACTGGCTTCAGGATTCAGGTGCAAATTGCTACCTTAGAAATTTACTTTTGGGGAATCTGGCCTTAATGCAACAGCCAAATCATTTTGTGGAAAAAGAGTGGGGGAAAGGAGAGAAAACAAGAAGGTTTTATTTTCATATTCTTATGCTTCTCCTTCCAGAATATTCTTAAATTACCTTGAAAGTAGCCAAGAAATAGTCTTATTTTTAAGTACAACCAGGATTGAGTAATTAAATCTGGTCTCAATTTACTCTGAAATTCTAGATATTTCTAAAATCTGCCATTTTGTAATTTAAATCTTCTTCTTCTCAGCTCTCAATAGAGTTAAGAAAAATTAAGTAATTAAAAGAAATAAGAATAAATGTTTTATGTAATCCTTCATGTTCTCACTTTGGGCACTAATGACCTGTTGGATGAGTAGATAAGTGTTAGAAAGCAGCAGCATTGGTAATAATACCTATACCGAAACTTCACATGGGTCTTTGAACTCTATTTACAAACCTTTTAAGTTCCCCAGAGGCTCCTGGTATGCCTCAAAGCTCTTAATGGATCACAGTGCTCACAGAATTAAGTATAAACTCTTTTTCTGGCATTCGAAATCTACTTTCAATCCAAGAATACCATATGGTGCTTCACATCACCCTACCTTTAACGCAAGGCTTATGAATCAGGAAAACACTATTCTAATATTATTAACTTTTTTTCAAAGTTGTTCTCTTCTCTTAAAAAGCTTATATTATATATTAAATTATCTCATACCAAACCCTCACTTCCTCACCCTTGATCTCAGTCACCCCATACATCATATACTTTGTCATACATTTGACAGGGCCAACCTAGTCCACCTTTCCATTCACGAGTTAGTGTGCCTTTAGGCTGTCTGCGTTCAGTAAGTTTTAAAAAGGTATTACGCTTACTTCTAACTTCTCAAGGTACAATACTCACTCACAACCTGCCTTCATATGTATCTTGTGCCTATTGGTCTTATTCTTTCTTTCAGGATCTCTATGGAATGTGCGTTATCATTTTTTAACAAAAGTCCTTAGAATATTTGAAGCTGAGAACTATCATCCATACATTCTAGAATACCTGAAAGCTCAGGAACAGCATGTTGTTTGAGAGATTTTGCTAGGGAAACTAGGCAAAATGATACAACGACACTTTTTCCTACTCATAGCTCTCTCACAAGTCCATTCTCTGCTTTTATTGTAATGCTGACTTAAGTACCTAGGCAATCACAGATGTTTCTAGTCACTTCAGGGCTGTCGATATAAGGAAGCTAGAGAAGTCCTATATGGACCAGCATTACTAAAAATGCTAACACCAATGGGCATTTGAAACATGACTGCATGGCAAAATACCATTTTCACATCTTGGATGGAACACATGTAAAACACAGAGTAATATTAGACCAGCACACTGAAGCAAGCTAGAAGCCATTTCCAGATGTTAAAGTTTTTGGTGGAAAAAAAAAATGCTACAGTTGTTTTATATAAGAAAGCCATATTAGAATACATAGTAAAGAATGAACCTATATAGATAATCTATTGAAAGTCTAATGAGGTCCTTCAGTGAGCTTAGATTAGAGAGAGAACGATGTAAAGAGTGTTCAGATATATTCCTAACCGTGGAAAATTTTAAATTCAGCAAATGGTGTTATAATAATTTATATTGAGAGTCACATAATAATAATTCAATGTTGAGAGTCACATAATTAATCCATCTTCAGTTGCGGAGCTCGGTCTCAGAACATGAGTCTACATGCACAAATGGCCACGCCTGTGTTCTTCCTTTCCTCCTCCTTTCTTTTTGCCTCCTTCACTCTTCCCTTTCTTTTTTTTTTTTTAACTATTTCATACCATGATAGTTTTTCATTGATCTATCCATATCCTTTTTGCTTCACTGAACTTTCTCAAGACCTAAAAATTTTCTTAACCACTCATTCTGCATATAAAACACTCCAGTACTTGGAAAGTAATTGAGAACTGCACCATATACAGGAGGTGGAAGGCAGAGCACTGCCCCCTTTAGGGGCAGAACATACCCCTCCTGTTGCAAAAGGTGTGGGGTGAGGGGAAGGGAGGAGAAGTCTTCAAATGCCAAATGGCCGGTGCTTGGTCCAAAGCTTTACTTTCTTTTCTAAACCTCTAGGACTTCAGCGTTCCCTAGCAACAGAAGCAAAGGATCAATTTAGAAAAGTGCTTTCCAGAGCATTCCTATCTAGCTACTGACCAAGCCATTTTAGTTTACGTGATCAAGCAATTGAAATTCAAGGAGATTTATCACTGACTGTCCTCAGCAACAAAACTGGAAGAGGACTGCTTGATATGTATGCTACTAATGTCTGAGATGACTGATTCTACCTATACTGCACAAGCATGAATTGGTTTCAGTAAGAATTAGTAGTCTCTGCATCTCACTGTGAATCGACAGTGTTGCTAGGGAAACTGATAATTATGTGGCAAAATGGAGGGTGTAGAATAGAAAAAGGGTTCAGAAGAAATGTAAGGTTTTGATCCAAATCAGCATGCTAATTGCATAGTTTGTTGATATTCTGTAGTCATATAATTTAATAAATACTATTAATTGTATGTTTGACAAGATACAGATTTCTGAACTGAAAGAAATGATCAAAAATTAATCAAACTTTGGAAAACATCTGGTTACTGACCACACTTTGTACATTCCACAGCAGGAACATGTATCTATTATGAGCTCCATTTAATTTTAAAAATTAAAATATTCAGAAAGGAAAAAAAAATTACACTGATTGGATTTCTGACATTTTCTTTAGAAGTCAATCTTACAGTTCCAGATATAAAAACTGCAGATTTATAAAAGCTCTAATCAAATAGACTATAGTTAATATAGCCTCAAAACACCCTTTAGGGTGTGGAACAAAGTACTACTATTTTTATGTTATTTATAGTAAGACCAACCCAGAAAAGCAAATGACCCTCCTGTAGTTACACAATTCTTTAGTTAGTGGTAATGGTGCTAGACACTCCTCTTAAAGCTGCCTCTTAAGAGTGTTACAGATTTTATTTTCAGGGAAAATCTAGGAAAATGATATAAACTTAGTGAATGAACTCAAATCTCTAGATATTGCTTTGATTTAAAATTTAAAATAAATTTAATACTCTCCATTTTTAATAGCTAAGAGTTTAGCTCTAAAAGTTAATGATCTGGTATAAACACTTGTTTATCAGAAAAATCTCATTGGAGACATTTTAATATGTGAAAAAGATCATCAAAGAATTAAATGGCTCATTAGTGAACAGAGTTTATGGCATGTCCAATCTCTGCCTGTGCGTTGTCAGTCCTATTATGACAATCCTGCTGAGAAATGTTCTTTTATTTTCACTGTCTTCAAGGACTACCTGGTAGATATCTTAACAGATTATATCAAATGTTTTATACCCTCCTGCACATTTATCTTTAATAAATTCTTACACGTTTTCTAATTTCTAAATATATGCAAGTATCTTCTCTATGTTAGATTTATAAATGGAGGTTAATTATATTTAGAAAAAGTTTACATAGTGTAGTTATGTGTCATGGAAAGCAATTATAAGGATTCCGACATTAATCCCCTTGGAGTACTGCCAGAAAATATTTGACCTAAAGGATTATTTGTAAGATTCATTTCCTTTGTTCTCATGTATAAGTAAATAAAATTAATTTTTCCCTTTTAGAAAAAGTTATAAAAAAATAAGTATGTATACTATAGGTATTAAGACATTCTAGCCATATTCATACATTGTGTGTTTGTGTGTATGTATACATGCACATAAAAATAAGCGATTTGTGGTTGGTAATGAAAGAAGACAACCATTTACAATAGAAAATGTTTCCAGTATCTTGGTCTTATCTGGTCTTGGACAGGAAGAATATATGGGACACTAAGGTGAAAGCGCAGAACTCCATAGCGATTCTTTACTTATTTCATTCTAAGTAGTAGAAGCAGATAACCAACCTTTTGATGTTATGAAAAAGGTCTTTAGTCTAGTGATTTAAAATCTGTAAGCTTTACTCATTAATACCTAAATAGTTCAGTCGATTCCAGATAGGATTAACTGCTACCATTTTAAGGTGGTTAATTACATAAATTTTATGGTGGTTTAAAAGAGTATTTGGTTTGTCTTAAGTTGGAATCTTATTATTTCTTTGTATCAAGTCACTTATTTTTTTATAAGACCTAAATGCCAAGTTCTTATTTTAATAAGCCATTTTTTAATTCCCATGGCAGGGAGAATTTTTCAACTTTCAAATCTCTTTAAAAGTATGTAAGTGAAATGATATAGTTATTAAAAATAATGTCTGTGGTTAAGTTAGACAAACCTTGACTTAGGCCATCCTGACAAGATGTTTGCTTGACATCCAAGTTTTCCATGGTATCTCCTTTAGAGACTTCACCAAGAGATGTTCTTCTCTCAAAGATGTTATTGTTATTGTTAACTTGAGTCCCATTCTGCTTCAGAAGCCTGAACACCTCAGTTTCCAAATCTCTAATCTGGAAAAAAAAAAAAAAAAGAAACATTCATGAGACTCCAAACCAGTTCTCTGTTACAAGCATGAGGTAAAACGTTACCCACTTTTTAGTGACTTCGATTGTACAACTCACCCGCACTTGCAGGCCTTGAACTTCTACAAGATGAGCTTTTTCCAAATCTTCTATTTTCTTTCTTTCTGCTTCCTGTCTTTTGATGAAATCAAGTTCTCTTAAGAAGAAAATAATATATGTGATTGTATTAAACACATGATAACTGAGGACACAGGAAAACTCTTATCTGAAACACTAAACTGCACAACAAGACACATAACTGGATAGCAATTTAAATAAACAAGACTCAATCATAAAGAGAGAAAAGGTATACAGTAATGAAAGCAAATAAACTATTTCAGTGGGTCACAAAGTAAAGAACAAAGCTTTGATTCTGCTTATTATGACTTTCATGCGTAGCTGCTTATTTTAGAGTACCAGTACTTATTTAGATAGAAGCTACCGCACTAATGACCTACCCTTGGGTAATTTTGTGGAGATAATTATAGGTCAGGTAAGTATAATTCCACATTTGCAAAGTCATATACCTAGTAAGCTGGTGGAACCCAGATAATTATAGTAAGATTGTTTTCTATGAATAACAGTGGAGAGTGGTGATGTGGGTCAGTTACACTAGAGGTAGCTGTCACTTATACATCTAAGGAGAAGAAATATCTACTTTGAGAGCCTGGAATACAACATGAGATTGTATCAAAATTTATTATAAAATTATTGCAATAAATAGAATTAGATATGATATTTTTGGCAAGAGGAGTTAAAAGTTAAAATAGTGATGTACTGAATTTACAGTCACAAAGAAACTCTTCCCCCTTTTAACAGCAAGCTTTCTCTAGTAATCTCTTTTAACTTAAAAAATTATTTTCCAAGATAGGAAGTAACACAGATATGGTGAGTTTTACATATATATGAGTTTTACATATATGCCTTCCATGTCAAGCTCCTACAGCTTGGCATGGAAGGCCAAAAGAGGAACTGACCCGTTTTTGTTTTGTTGTTTTTTTTTTTTAATTGACCTAGCTAATCAGAAGTAGCTGATGAAAAACATGCAGTAAAAAGCTCCCTGGTTGGTTCCCTGAAATTACACGAAAATCCAACAGATGGAAGCAAAGCGGCATTTAGTTCAGAAAAAGCTACTGAAATTCAAAAGCAAAGTGTGGTGATGGTCCCTCTCAGGGCAATGAACTGAGACCCTTGTGATTCTCTCAACATCCAAGAAAGGCAAAGCAGCAGAGCAGGAGTTGTTGTACATCAATATTTACTGTATCTGTAGTAGAAAAACTACAATTACTGATTCTAAGAACAGAGATAGAAGTAGCCTGATCAAGAATCCAATTGCGGGAGCCTCCCTGGTGACCCAAGGGGTTAAGATTCAACCTATGAAGCTGTCCACAGCCACTGTAGCATGAGTTCAATCCCCAGCCAGGGAGCTACCCACATGGTGCAGCAGACCTCTCCTGACTCGCCCGTTACTCCCCTCATCAGTGTATTTCCGTCAATCTGCCTGTTCTGTTCCCCACTCTGTCTCTCGTGAATCGGCTCACCTCCCACACCTCTGTCCTGTACCCCAGTTCTTATATGCATAAATAAATAAATCTTTAAAAAAAATACACAAAAATGTTAATACCAAAAAAAAAAATCCAATCGCTGATTTGTGTGTGCTACAGTGGCCAATAGTCACTCTATGACTTTAGCACTTCTGTATGACTTGCTTCCAAATTAGAGATTCATCAAAAAGGTTAGAGGTTCAAATGTTTTAATAATTACTATTAATGATTAAAAAACACAATCAAGAGGTAACTGATTGCCAAAAAATTTGTAAAACAAGCAAAATATAATCTCGTGAAACAATTATAGAGTGACTTCAAAACTTAATGTCTATTTATGATTTAAATATGCTTCCTAGAGGGATAAATCTGATAACAAAATTACTGGACATAAGCATTTAGAAACCCAGACTATTATTCTTTAGTCACTTAGAAGTTGCTTACTTTTGTTGAAAATCTTTGATCAGTTTCTTTGCCTTGTTGTACTTCTTCTCCAAGGCCTGATATTGGCTTTGCGTCTCTTTGAGGTGTTCATTCACCGTGTGGCATAACGTTTGAGCCTCAATCCAGTAGCTCTCCAACTTCAACATTCTTTCTTTATTCTCTTCTATATTCTGTTGGAGTTGGGTTTTTTCTAGTTCCCACCTCACCTTCTCATTTTCAGCTGCTTGCAGCTGGACAAAGCAAATATCAAGGCAAAGATAATCTGGGTACTTCTGTAGCAAAAGCCCCCCAATTTTTATGCAGGTTTTAGCTTAAATGCCATCGATACATATACTCAGTCATCAAACAACTTGAGGTGAATAGAACTTATGTTACTTTCATAATATGAAAGCCTCAAAAAGTGAAATGATTTGTTCAAGGTCACACAGCTTATAAATAAAACAGGATTTGATTCCAAACCCATGAATTTTCCATCACATCACATGGTCCGAAATTCTATAAGAAATGTTTTAGAGTTTAACTGAGTCTACCTAAGATTTAACATGTTTTAGTTTTATTTTTTTTTAAATATATATATAATTATATGTAAAAAATAAACCAAAACCGGAGGGAGGAGTGGCAAGGAGGGAAAGAGAGAGAGGCGGAAGCACAGCATGGCCTAATGATTAAGAGGAACATTTGAGTCATTCAATTTCAATTGGATTCCCAGCTTCTGCTATCATTGCCTTCAAACCTCGGACAAGTAACTGAAGTTCTCTAAGACTCAATTATATCATCTATGAAACAGAACTGTGATAGAACACTTTTGTGTGCTTGGAATAGCTTCTTAGATGTAATATTGCGGAAAATGTTAGTTATTTTTAACTTGCTTCTAACCCTTTTGATATTATTACCTATTTCATTCCAATTGATGTGAACAGTCTGCTCATATTTTGCTTGCAGTGTCATTAATTTGCAAGGCTTTAAAAATCCAAATTAGCATAAAATTATAAAGTCTAGTATAAGCAGAAATATAAATTATTGCTAGATTCATTTAAGTCATTCCAATGAAACGAAAAAGCAGCAGTGTCTGCTACCAGGGACTCTAAGGAATAGATAAACTCATTTCTAAAGAAATTCAAGACTGATCATTTCGGTGAGTGATCAGAGATAATTTATTTACAATAACTGTTTGACTTTCATATAGTGTGTCATCTATTTCCGATACCTTCTTTAAAGTTCAAAATGATGCAGTCATAAACTATTAATTTTCAAAATCTAGCATATTTCAAAATCCTACAGAATTCAACAAAGCATATGTTTTTATTTATATCTGAAACCAAATCCATTGGTTAAAACATTACAAAGTAAAAAAGTAGTTAAAAACATTCCAAGTTAGAAATACCTTTATCAACATGGATAATAAAGAGTCTTACTTTACCATGTAAGCAGATCTGTGGACACTATATGCCAATACAATAATGAGAAAAATATAAAATACTAATTTATAGGGTTTTCCAAATTAAATGCTGATAGTCTAAGTCATTTTTGTTATAATAGTTTAAATCACATGGGAATCTTTTTCCCCTATTGTAATCAACATTTATTTTTACCTCTTCTATTCTTGCATTCTATGCCAAGAAACAATAGCAATTTAAAATGGGACTAGGTTTTTACTGCATCTTTTATTAAGCAATGTTTTGTATTCAAGTTGTTTATTTACCAGCCCCTACTAATTCAAAAATTATTATACAGAGAGCTGGGCTGACACCATGAATGATGTATAGACATGTTTTGACTAAAGAGTTTCAGAGTTATTAGCTGAGAATACCATTTAACCAAAATAGCCTTGCTAATTCATCTCCATTTAAAACACATGGAAAAACCAAAACAAGTGTTCAATGTGAATAGGGAAACAGATCATTAGTGGTGGGAAAGGAATTATGTCTTAATTTTAAAAAGACCATAAAAACAAGAGAGTACTGTTTTAAAAGTAATTCAGAAGACATTTTAAAATCTTTGAAATTACACATTTGATAAAACTAGACACAAATTTAGGAATTTATAAGTCCCTTATAATTTATCAATTAAAATGCCCTTTTGAATCTTGTATTATTTCATAAGTAAACTAAAAATACATACCCCTTTTCATTAAGAACTACGTATGTCCACAAATTTGAATAATGTGAACTAAACTTGTTTAAAAGTTTCTAGTAGCATCTGGCACTTAAAATCAAATATGGGTATATTATACTAAATTTGAAAATAACAGAATTTTTTTCTAAATCAAAAATAATTAATGAACCATATTAAAATAATACATTGCTTCTGGTGAAAAAGTTAAACATAAATAAATGACAAAACCTGTTCTAAAAAAGGTGAATCCAGGTAAACAGATATAATAGCTTGTGCTTAAGTAATCAGTAGTCAGAACATAATTCAGATGCTTGAACCACAAAAAATATTTACTTTTGGAGAAAAGCTCAGAGGGAACTGGTCACATATGTGCAAATATGTAAATGTGTTTCTGTAAAATGCTGTGCTGTTTTCACTGCGGTGTATGGTGATATTTACCACCTACAGGAATGTGATTTCACTGGCAGGCTTGTCTATGCCTCTAACAATGGATATGAAGGTCTCGCAATTGTATTCTTTCAAATGCACAGGAACAAATCCTGTAGTCCAAGGGTTGAATTTATTCATAGCACCTGAAGTTTAAAATGTACAATTCAAATATTGGTGCTTACCTTGGTCTTCAATTTTTGAATCTCTGCTTCTGTAACTGCGTGTTTGATTTGCAACTGAAAATTGAAAACAAAGAAAAAAATCTGAACTGAGAGTGTCTATATTTTTAAAGCCTCAGCAGCTAGAAGAATACCTTATTACATCGCAGAAGGCCTAGAAAGGTGCTGCAATGCAGCAGGTTGTAAATTAAAATGTCTAGTGTGTAAAATGACTCATTAGGTGCAAACTAATTAAACACAGGTTTAGAGCTCACAGTCCCTAACATCGGGTTAGGTTGCAAATTTAATTGCTCAGGGACTGAAGAGAAGAAAACGTATTTTCTTGCCCTCTTTGCAGTTCTTTCTTTATGATTTGCGTGTCAAGGAATTGTTTCCTTGCTGTGTCTTGTGGATCCAACAGCTTAAGCAATCCAGACCCGTTTGTGAGGCCCGAATGTGAAGACTGGATTCCCAATCTGGAAGAAAGGTGGCGCTATGGGTCTGCGGGTCACAGCACATCGGGCTGAGCAAACCGTTTGCAGCTCTGGATGCGGCAAAGCGAAAGAGGAGGATGCAGTTTTATAGCGAAATCTGCGACTTTTTTTTTTTTTTTTAATTGCGGGAGAGGTATAGCTCTAGGTTTCTGTGCTTCAAAAGACTGATTCCTGTTGTGTATCCATTCAGACCCCAAAAGAGCTTCAGCTACTGTTTATCAGCCCGAGAGCCGCCATTTACATTGTTTTGCTTCACCCCTGCCCCCACTTTGTTTTCTCTGTAAGGGAAGGAGGAGGAAGCAAACATTCATTTCCTTAAGGGATAAATAAATAAATCTAAACGTAAGGAAAACAATTTATGGGTTGACAGTCTGTTTTTTGAAGCCCTTTGGGGTTTATGTTTTCGGAATTCAGAATTCATTCAAATTTAGAAAAGATAGTAAGAAGCATTTCCTATAAACTGCCTGTTACCCACAGCAGAGTCTGTGGAGGCACTCTGCACGGAATCAGACACAGGGATACTTCTGCCACAAAACATAAGACTATTCCCACTAAGCGTGGCATACAGAGACTGCAGATACCACCTTGTCAATTTTCCTCAGGTTTACCACCAAATGAGTTTGCCACGAAATTACTTTTTAAAAATTGATTTCAGAGCATTTTAAGATTTTATGATTTCAGGACTGTAAACTTCTAGTATTACTGTAATCAAATAAGTATAATGTTTTCTTCGAAAAAGTAAATTCACTGATAGATTAGAATCATGGAATTTTTGAATTAGCAATGAGAACATTTGGAAATCACAATACCTCATACACTTCAGTGTTTTCTTTGGTTTGTAATCGGTATTTCCTTAATTTTTTTACCCAGCTAATAGAGGTATTAGCCCTCTTGAAGGAAGAAGAGGGAAAGTATTTAGAATCAAAGACAGGTTGGATGAACACACCCTTAGATACCAATGAATGAAAGCCCAGAGCCCGACAACCCTCAAGCTCCTTGTAAAATGCTCCTTCCTGGATGCTCTCAGTTCTCCAGCTTTTAAATGTGATTCTGCTCCACTCATATCACTTGTCTTACTTTCCCACTTCAGATCTGCATTCTTGCCCCTGTGGCTCTTGTTCATTTCACCCTCACTGGTTCCCAGCTTCTATGCTCTAACAGTTTCTAGAGAGTCAGCACCTGTGTGTGGCTGTTACTCTTTTATGAGGCTGGCAAACAGGCAAGCCTGGCTCTCTCGGTTTCTCACCATAGCCCAAGTGGTATGTGCTTAACTTACCTGCCTTCAGCAGATTCTCAGAGCACCAATGCAACTGGCAAGAGCTGCTCCCAATTCATAGTAACTTTCTTCTACCTCACTGATGATGTTTGTGCTCACCCAGGCCCCTCACCTGGATGTATCTGCCAGAACCAACAATGTCAGGTACCCAGCCTGCCATGCTCAAGCTCAAGTGGGTTCTCAAAGTGTGGACCGCACAGTGAGCATACTATCACAGAATCACAGAGCCTCACACTCTGGACTTAATTTAGATATGAAAAACCAGACTCAAAAGATAACCGACCAGGTCTAGTTCTCACAGTGAATCACTATTAAAACCAAGACTAGAACCTGGATCTTTAGTTCCTGATCCAGTTGAATCTTCCTTAGAAAGCAAGGATAAATAAAATAGGCATTTAGGGCCTCCCCGGTGGCGCAGTGGTTGAGCGCTGGGTTGCGAAGCTGCCCGCAGCCTCTGCAGCGCCGGTTCAATCCCCGGCTGCTCCCCGGCCACTGGAGGAGGGTCCCACATGGCGTGCAGACCTCTCCTGCCGCCCGCTGCTCCCCTCAGCAGTGTACTTCGGTCCTTCTGCCTGCTCTGCTCCCCACTCTGGCTCTGGTGAATTCTCTCACCCTCCCACGCTTCTGACTGTACCCAGTGCTTGTGTAAATAAATAAATCTTTAAAAAAAAAATAAAAAAAATAAAATAAAATAGGCATTTATTAAAGAGCTGCTATGTGCAAGATGCTGTGAAGATAACTCTTTTCCTTCTAAGAAATATTAGTGCTAATTTCCCTCACCACTATGAAGTAACAAACTAAAAAGAGCAAATTACTGAGACTTTAGATGTTGATAAATACACAAATATAAAGATATATGTATACACATTCCTTATAGACACATGGGCTATGAGGAATTATTTTCCACAGAGATCTTATACTTCAGTGTGAACATGCTAGAGCATTCAGCAAATCCATGTGCCTAGGTAATATTGGAGTATCTACAATTGTTATTGACAAGAAGATCAATTTCTTGTTCTTTCTACCATGTGTGAAATGTGAAGAGTAGTTAAGTTAGATGTTTTTAATTCAGTTTAGCTATGTGACCTCAGAAAATAAGTTAATCTCTCTTACCTTCACTTTCTTCACCTTTAAAATGCTGTTCCTCAAGGGTTATAACTTTTCTTATTACATTAAATGAGACAACCCATGTAATTTTTTTTTTTTGCATAATGACTGGCATTGAATAATTCCTTTATAAAGTTAGGGCTAAGAAAGCATGATGTGAAGAACTCAAATATTACCCCAACTCTATTCCTCAGTTGTAAGTGTTAAATGCTACAAAATGTTACACCTGAAATAAAATGAACACTTCTGGTTCTATCTGAAGAATAGCAAGAAATCAAAAGGGCATTTTACAGTGAACAGTACGGGCAAGTGTCAAATTTTGTTTTCTCAGTGGTTCATTCCCAGTAAGGCAAGCAAGTACGTGCCACAAAACTTATTGGAACCTTAGATTTTCTTTGCTCAGATCACTCCCTGTGACTTCTGGCAAGCTGCTGTTCTAGGTTTTAGTTTTATGAAAAGTGAAAGGGCTGGAGGGGAAGAATTCAAAGGTTCTTCCAATATTACAGGTGTGACACTTATGAATGAAGAGCCTAGACATGGTGGTCATGGTTGCAGAGTCTAGAAATTTTTGTCCAAGCCAACACTGTTGTTCTTATGAATGCATGTACTATTAATAGATTAAATAATCATCAAAGAAATGTGAGTCAAAGCTTCAATGACATACCATCTCACATTGAGAATGGTCCATATCCAAAAGACCAGAAACAACAAGTGCTGGCAAAGGTGTGGAAAAAAAGATAACCCTGTATACTGTTGGAATGTAGACTGGTCCAGACCCCATGAAAAAGTAGTATGAAGGTTTCTCAAAATATTAAAAATAGATCTACCATATAATCAAGCAATTTCACTCCAAGGTATCTAACCTACAAATACAAAAACATTAATTTGAAGGAATATATGTACTTCTGTGCTTACTAGGGCACAATTTACAATAACCAAGCTATGCAGACAAGTGTCAAATAATAGATAAATGAATAAAGAAGATAAAATACATCCACCACTATTCCGTCAAAAAAGAAAAGAAAATCATAAGCTAATACAAAGATAAGTGATTCTAGAAAAACAGAAAAAAGGTAAAGAAAAAATTCATAGATTAAAATGAAAACAAAACACTAATAAACATAAAACAAGGAAAATTAATTGGAAGAAGAAAAATCAATGAAAGGGCACTTACTTCCAAGGAATTGTGAGAAAAATTTTAAAGTAGAAGGCTAACACAATACAGTCATCTAAATGCCAGGTTAGCATTAGATTTTCCTTTATATTATGCAACACTAGTTTAATACAATGAGAAAACACGATGATCTTAACAATAAATTAGGAATTTTACTATAAAAATAGCAGTTGGAATTCAGTAAGCTGAGAGTGTAACTATTTGCTGTACATGTATTATAAAGCTAACCAAAAGCATGTCTTTAAAAATGAAACAAATTTTAATAACAACTTTGTTTTAGAAACCGAGATCATATTAAAAAACTTCTATAAGGACCATCCAAATGGCATTGTTTCCTCTAAATTTTGAAAATTTAGAAAAATGAGATATGTTCTAAAAACATGAAGATAATCCCTAGTAACCAATAAACATAAAAGAAGTATAAAACATAAAATGAGATTAAATGTATTAGACCTTGAATAATTATAACAATAAACTTAAGTGCTAAATTTTCCTGTTGAAAGATAGAGATTTCAAAATGTTTTTTTTAATCTACAGTATAATTTTTAAAAAAGTAGATACAGATAGAGCAGCTACAAACAAAAGTAGCAGTCAGACTATTAACATCAGACACTAAGGATAAAAAAATCTCTGGGTCACATTTTATGTTTTCAAAATAACATCAAAATAGATAATAAAGTTTTTAGACACAAAATATAATGATGGATAATTTTATTATATGGCTCTCAGTTTATGAAAAGAGAGAAGGACACTGAAGGCATTAAAAGTATTTCTAGCACTTTTATTACAAATACACACATTAGTCTAAAATAAAGGCACTTAAAAATCTGATTACGATTTCAGAAGCATTAAATTAATAATAAAAAGTTATAAATTAAAAACTATTTCCTTTATTTTCTAGTCAAGGAAATGGAAACAATAAAAATGAAAAATACAGACTATTGCAAAATGATGGCAAGAATAATGCACATTGAAACTAAATGATGTGGCCAAAAGACTAATGAGAGAGAGGTGCATAGTTTTAAGT